TTTATATAATTCTTTCATCATTTTTTATTTTTGCACAATGTATGCATTTTCATTTTGGTTCTATTCCCCATACAATTGCACCCTCCTTATTTTGACCTTAATCCTTCTTCTCCCCAACTTAATTTTTCTTAAAAGGTACTATATTTTCCTTACAGTGGAGTCTTGACTTATCAATGTAAAAGAAAACAGAAAATCACTGCTAGGGAAATACCACCATAATAATTAACTCCACTAACAGATGTTTAAATTAGTTGAACATTTGCAAACCATGTAATGGGATTTGCATAGTTTCAAAGTGTCTTCCTCATGATAGTGATTAACTGCTCTACCATTTTACAGTAAAGAACCTGGGAGAAACCAATTTTAGCAAGTGTTAAATCCAATATATCATCATCAGCAAGAACACATGTGGGATATCACAAATCCTATGATATGATGTCTTAACAAGAACACACTATCTTTTCTGGTATTCTCACCAAAACTGTATAGCATTAGCACAATCACAAGGAAATCTAAGAGAAAGGGTATTTGACAGAAGTGCATTGGTAGTGGGTGTGGTATGATAACATACAGTGAGGAAATGTGATCTTATGTCTATGAATCATATATAGCTATGTAAATCAATGTTACCTAAACAATTTTTTAAAAAGTGTCATAGTCAAGAAAGACAAAGACAGAAACTATTGCAGATTGCAGGACTAAGAACTAAATAGAATGTGGGACTTTGGATGGAGTACAGAATAGAGAAAGTAAGTTAGTGAGAGAACTAATGGGATATAAATAGTCTTTAGTTAATTTCCAAGGCTAATTTCCTGATTTTGAAAATTATAATGATGTAAATATTAACATTAGTGGAGCCTAGGTCAAGGATATACAGAATCCATTATTTTTGTAACTTTTCTGTAAGTTTAAAATTAGTTCAAAATTTAAAAATTTTTTAAGGCATTGAAAGTTTGGAAACTTGGTTTCCCTCTATTTCTCCACAGTCCAAACTTAACTGACACTAGACAACAGTCTCAGGCTGTTACCATGTAATTCTCTTACCTTCCCTGTATTTTGATAGGTTATTTGAAACTCTGCTTTTCAAAAGACTTTCTATTCAAGCTACATGGTGCTTGACAAGAGTAAATAAGGGCTCTTAAATATTATACTGGAACTCAAAGGCAAGTGTATTAAAGCAAGAAAAAGAAATATAAGCCACAAAGATTGTAAAGGTAGAAATAAAACTTATTCATGGATGATTTTTTTATGTAGAGAATTCAAAATAACCTACAAAAAAACTAATAAAATTAAAAAGATTTTGTCAAGGTTTCTGGACACAAAATCAAAACAGAAAATTCAATGATAATCCTATATACCTGTGGAAACATAAAGTGAAAATTGATTTAAAGATATCATTTACTAAAGCATGATAAGTATGAAATAAATTATAACAAAACTCAGAAAAGATGTGTAAGACCCATATATTGAAATCACGCTAGTATTAGTAAGGATCTAAATTCACTGAAAGATAACATATTCATGGACTAGAAGACTCAGTATTTAAAGATCTCAGTTATCTCAAAATAGATTTATAGATTCATTACAATCTTAATGTAAATCCCAACAGATTTTTTTAATGGAATGTTATAAACAGATTTTAAAATGTAATGTGTAAGTGCAAAAAGTCAAGAGTAGCTAAAAATTAGTCCTTTTGAAGAACAACAAAATGGGTGGACTTGCTTCTCCAGCTATCAAGGCTTACTATAACATTGTAACATTTAAGATAATGTCCAGTGACAGTAGAAAGGATAAATATTCATATATTCACATATTGGAATTCACAGAGGGAAAACAAACAATCTTAAGCAACTCACTGCAACATGAAGACTTATATACATAACATTAAGTGAAAGAAGCAAAAACAAAAATTGTGTACAGTATAATTCCATTATTATAAAATCTAAAAGTGAGCCAAACTAAACTTTATTGTTTAAGGATATATACACACCAGTGTGTGTGTATATATATATATATATATATATATATTTAAAAAGCAAAGCAAAAATTATCACAAAAGTCAAAATAACAAATACCTCAGTGGGGAGATATGGAGCTGCAATCAAGCATGGTAACATGGTTGTTTGTTTCATAAATATGTATTAATCTCAACATTTATTTTAATGCACTTTATAGTTGTATGTTATATTTCACAATATAATGGGGATTACTAAATTAATTAAAACAGTCACTAAACTAATTATGAAAAAAGTAATTAACAGTGTATCTCAAAGACAGACCATTAGGCCAATGGAACAGACTAGATATACACATGTAAAAGTTATGTGGTTTATATATCACATGTGTCCCTATGGAAACAGGCTTTTTAATAATTCATGTGAAACATCATGAAGAAAATTTTAGAACCCTACCTCTTACAAAAAGCTATTCTGATAGATTAAAGACCTAAATGTGAAAAGTAAAGCAACAAACATTTTTGGGAAACATATAGAATAACTTCATGATCTTGAAGTAAAAAATGATTTCTTAAGCAAGACACAAAAAACACTAGCCTAAAAGGAAAAGACTGATAAAATAAGTAAAAATTAAGAGCTTCTGTTCATTCAAAGACATCAGATTGAAAAATAAACCAAGATGGGAGAAAATAAAACAAGGTGGGAGAAACATTCGCAACACATCAACTTAACCAGACTTAATCTACTTTCTATACACACACACACACACACACACATACACATGCATACACACATACATACATACATACATATATATACACACATATAGATCCCTACAAGTCTGTAAGGAAATGACTTGGCAAGGTTGAGCAACATTATTGGTATTCAGTGAAGTTAAAGTTGAAATTAAAATGAGCTACACACTAACTCAAACACACTAAAATTAAAAATCTGACAGTATCATGCTAATGAAGATGTGGGTGATAGGAATTGTCACACAATCCTGAGGGCAATATAAATTGTATGACCAAGTGGAAAACAGTCTGGCATTTTCTGGTAAATATCCCAAGGTATAATCTCCAGGTTTTTCCATATCTATGCGCCAGAATGTACAAGAATATTCTTAACAATACTTTTCCTAATAGCCCCACACTGGAAACAGAGAGGAGACCATGCAAATGTGTGGGGGAAAAAAAGGGGAGGTGGAGGAAGTACCTACCTTGGATCCTGATGCCTTTTTAATTCTGTTTCTAGTCTCTGGTGAGGCCCAATTGCCCTTTATAGTCTTTTAATGCACTTCCTATTTTGCTTAAATTAATTTGAGCAGATTTTCAGTTCCTACAATCAACAGAAAACTGCTTAGGAAAAAAAAAATGTAGAAAAGGAACCTATAAATTACAAAAGATTTAAGAGACTTATCAACTAATGTGAAGACTTTATTTGAGTCCTGATATAAACACACAGAATGTAAAAGAACTACAACATATAACAGCAAAGTTTTTTTTTAAATCACCCCAAAACCCACCATACCTCTGGCTCAATGCCTTTCATGAAGTTGTAGTCAAATTGTCAGTTATCTCAAGGTTCTACTGAGGCTGAAGTATCAGCGTCTAGGCTCATTCATCTTTCTGCTGGAAGGCCTGGGTTTGTTGCCATAAGGGCCTCTCCTTGGGTTGCTTGAGGATCCTTACAACATGGCAGCTGGCAGGACCAATGACATGTAGGACCCCATGCAAAATGAAATGCAGGGCCCCTAGTCAAAAAATTAACCAGAATTTCAAGGTGGTTGAGTAAAATATTAAGCCAAAGGGTGGGGCCTTCTGAGACCAGCGTGTGTGATCATATAGGCCACACACTCTGACAGTGACCTGAATGAAGGAGATAGAGCACCACGGAAGAGTCAAGACAGAAACCAGTGTTCTTGCAACCTAATCTTAGAAGTGACACCCTATCATTTTTGTTGTAGTCTGTTTATGAGAAGCAAGTAACTAACAGGTGAGGATCTCACAAGGTCTTGAATACCAATTAGCCATTGTAGCTAAACTTACAGGCTTTTTCCACAAAAATCACTTGTGAGACAAGCAGGGAAATTAGAACATTGGCTGGATGTTTGATAGTGTTAAAGAATGATAATTTCTTAGGTATGATGATGATACTGTAGTTAAATTAACAAAGGGTCTTCTTATGTACTGAAATACAACAGACAAAATGATTTAATGGATTGGATTTGCTTAAAAATAATATGAAGTGGTAGAGGAGTGGGGGCATAAATGAAATAAGATTGGCCATGAATTGACCATTCTTGAAGAGGATAATAGTACCTGGGAATTCATTATACTCTATTTTTATAAGTTTGAACTTTCCTATAAGAAAAAAAAGAGCCTTGCTTGTCAAAGATAATGAATCAACTCACTGGACTCAACTGAATTCACATGAGCGCGCTAGTGTTGTAAGTTGAAGAGAGTCTCTCAGGGCAAGAATATAGGCTTGAGACATCAAAGGATGACACCATGCATGTTAATCCATTTGCTTTAAAATTTCCAAATTTTCATGGTGCTTCTGAGAAAAGAAAGTATTGAAGAAGGAGCTGAAAGAAAAGACTTCAGTGATTGGTATATGGAAGAGAGACAACACATTCCAACTTCGAGTCAAGTCAGTTAAGTGTGATTCCTCCCTTGGTCTGCAGGTTTATCTTCAGACCTGAAGGATTTCCAGGGCCTTCTTGAACTTTCCAGACTGGGGGTGGGTGTGGGGCTGCTTCTGAGCTGTTGGAATTAAAGGCCTTATTGTTCTGATGTTTGCTTTCCACAATTAGCATATTTAAACCTATGATTTAGAATTGAGGTATAAAAAGCGTGTGGTAAAATAGGAGAAGCTAGTTATAAAAGGTGCTAATTAAGAGCTGCATACCAAGGAATACTATTACCACAGTCAGCTGTACACATGATCGTTTTATTTTATTTTAAATATTATTTGCAATTTTTATTTAAGGTGACTTTTTAATGCTATGTTACTTTTTCTTACTTAAATTATCTTGCTTTTCAGTACTGACGTTTGGTTTGCTGGCAAGGCAACTGATTCCTCCTCTAAGTGTCTCTTATGCAGCTTTCAGCTCTTCAATAATTTATGTAATTTTTGGATCATGTCATCAAATGTCTATTGGTGAGTTCAGCACTGGAACCACAGGAGACAGATGAAGTCTCCACCTGAATAATTTACTTATTGCTACAGAACCCAAGTTAAAACTATATTATATATAAGATAGAAAGAAAGGAGGCAAAAGAATGGCTATCCTGTGGATAGAATTATCCATAAGATGAATGTTCAGATTTTAGTAACTGAACACTTGTAGTGTGTCATTATTAATGTCATCACTAAAAAGTCCAGCAAGCTGATTTCCAAAGGAATTAAAGGACAGAGGTATTTTCCTTGGTGAAATCACCACACAGAGGACTCTGACTGCCCTCAACCTGGAAGGCATGGAAACAATTTTGACAATACTTCCAAAGTGGATCCATCTTTAGGTAGACTCATAATAGCCAAACCCCATGGACCTGATTTACAAAAATTATGTCAATTTCACTTGCAATGAGAAAATGCTGATATACTAATCAAAGCAGTCAAATCCAGAGGATAAACACTTTCCTTCCCTGAATCAAAAGTCTATCTACTAATTTACAATTAGAAATGACTGTTAGAGGGACCAACTACTTAGAGGTCATACAGTCAGCACATTATTTCACCTAGGTGAACCTGTACAGAAATCAAATCACAAACCCCCCCAATTGTCTCAGAAGGGCATTGCCAACATTCACTCAATAAGTGCCTTTTCCTGGACTTTCCCACAGAATAATTGTCCAAGCAAGCAACACTGATCATTCTGACTATACACCTTTTCTCAAGATATGTTTGTATATTTGGTGAGTTACCATCCTCTTCTAGATGTGGATGGTGCTAAGAGTATTACTCTACCTTTTTAAAGGACAGTACAACATATCTTAATTTTAAAATCCATTATTTACTGATTTTACATTTAAACCAAGAGAATAATTTCGTTCCCATATTTCTAAGTTCCCAGAGCACATAAAATACTGATAGTAAGAGTTATTAGAATTTTGTTTCCATTAATCTAAAAGTAAGACTTGTTTATGCTCCCATATGCATGTATATCAATATGAGGATTAAATGAAGTTATGTTTGAAATAGGTTTAGCTCATTGTAATTTTGCACACAGTAAATCTTTCATAAGTGTTTGCTTTCTTTCAAAGTTATTTTTCTTACTATTGATTAGCTTTGTCTTCTGATCCTGTCACTGCCTTCTCAACTTTCACCATCTCTAAGAGCAGGTACAGTGACTGAGCCTGATACACATTTCCAGTCTTTATGAAGCCTACACCATATGCCCATAATGCAGATGTTGATACCTGGACCACCAAGATCTAAATTTTTCAAGTTGATCAGAGTATGTGGAGCCAGATTTCTTTTCTCTGTTCTTTTGTACTCCTCAATGGTCACTTCTCAATAAGAAAAGTCCTCAGGTCTAGGACAATACATCAAATCATATCTTGCTTTAGTCAGTATCTGTCCATTTACCTGGACTTAAAACCTTACCTTCTGCTTAAACATCATCTTTCATAGGTAACTTCTTCCTTGTAAGTGCACTCATGATCAATGTCCTGAACGTCTACCCATTCAACAATGGCCACCTGCTACTGGGAACTTTCATCAAGGGTGATTTTTCTAACCCTGCCTACATTATGGCCTATAACAAATCATTGAGTGTGGTGGCATCCACAACTTTTCTGACTGGGATCATTCAGGTAGGACCTGGGTCTCTGAACCCCTGAAGAATGAAAGAATGAATGAGCAGGCTACAAGTGTGTCCTTTCTTTTAGCTGTCCCTATTATTGATTGTGATATATCTGGAACTTGAAGGATTTTATGTTTGGAAAATGTGTGGGATATATAGTTAAGCTGTCTCCTCAGTGACAAAATGCCCTCCTCAGAAATCATCTACCATTGATTTGGGATTCTGAACACTCTCATCAATCCCTTCTCCTCTAAGATGTAAAAAAAAAAAAAAAAAGTACCTAGGAAACTATAGAGTTCAACTCGTGAATCTATATTTTTAAAAAGTTCTTCATAGAATAACACTTATAGGCTAAGATGCTATATTTTAAGTTAATAAGCGTAAGAATCAGACCTGGAACCCTTCAGCTGCAATGACAGGACCACCGCTAAAAGACAATAATATCAGTGACTCAGTAACAGATCAAAATTTAATTTTTTCAGTGTCTTTAATTTCCCCTGAGATTCTACCATCAAATAATCACCCACTGGATTAAAGTCACATATTTCAGATTTATTTTTCTTTCTTCTTAACTAACCCACTCTCTAGCTATTTTTCACTTATCTCCCCAGTATCATCTCTCATGAGGCAAGGATTTGTTGAGCGCCTGCAAAGGCAGCTATCATAAGGGACTGACCCTAGCCCTGACACTTACAAGATATATGAACTTACTTAAATTATCTTATCTTTGTGGGCCTCAGTTTCTTCATGTGTAAAATGGGAATGATAATGTTCATTTTGTAGATTCTGAAGATTCAGTGAGAAAATGCATGTAAAATTACTTAACCCAGAGTCTGTCATGTAGTAAGCATTAATAATTTATAATCACCAGGTACTAAGAAGTTAATTTGGTACTTTAATAGAGATCAGAAATAAAAAATAAGATACAGTTCCACTAGTTAAAAAAAATCAATCTTATAATAGAAGACTAAATAACAGGCAATAGCAACCTATTAGCTAAGTGACTTTGTGCAGCTTTTCTTCCCTCCTTTGAACATTTTCCATCTAACAAAGGAGGAAATATTCTGTTTCCAGGAAGACGAAATAAATGTAATATGGAAGATGGAATAAATTAATTTTTCCCAATTCCTCCTGCTCAGCAAAACTAAAAAACAACTAAAACCTTGGATCATTATATATAAAATAAACAGCAGATAACTCTGAAAGATGGAAAGAAGGCAAACTAGCTTGGAACTTTAGGATCCAAGGAACAACACTGTGGTGAGTTGCTGAGGTTTCTTTTTGCCTTATTTATCTGAAACTTGGAGGTTAAAAAAAAAACAAAAAACAAAAATGCCAACAGGTACAAACAAAATAAAAAAGTCTGTCCTTTGTTGTCATAAGACCAGGAAAGACTAGCAAAACTGAGAATTTTTACATAAAAACTTTTTTGCTTTGGACAAACACAAAGGAAAAAAACTGTGGGGTTATACCCACTCCTATCAGCAAAGGCCAAGTAGGGGGCCTAGAGTCCCCTCAACCAACTGCAATGAGATTCCTACACACCCCTATTGGGCTGTTGTCAGAGAAGATCAAATAGGGAGTCAAAACTCTCACCCCCACTGGAGGGGGTGGTCTCACAGAAAACCTAAGAAGATTCAAGTCTTGCATCACCATTCATTATTCATGAGGACAGCGCCTCTCTATTGCAGTATCAGTGGAGGTGATGTGGGAAGAAGTAAAGTCATTCCTGTATCTCCTAAGCAGGATGGTACTAGAGGAGACTGAATGGGGAGCCACAACTCCCATTCCTGCCCAGAAGTAATGAAGAATCTCTATTGTTTCAGGTATTAGTGGAGGCTAATACCTGAACTTTTACCTCTACCAAGCAGTAACAAGTGGCACCTTCCCCTTGCATCCCTGTCCCCCAGCACTTTGTCAAAACAAGCAAGCTAAGTAGAAGTTTTAAATAAGATGCAACATTTCATGGCATGGTACCCCAAATGTCTGTGATAAAATTGAAAAAGTTGTCAATACTGAGAAGACAGAGATGTCAGAATTATCTAGCAAAGATTTTAAAGTAGTCATCTTAAAAATGCTTCACTGAGTAATTATGAACATGCTTGAAACAAGTGAAAAAATAGAAAATCTCTGAAGACAAATAGAAAGCCTTAGGAATAAATAGACAATATAAAGAGGGACCAAATGGAAATTTTAGAATTGAAAAATTGAGTAACCAAAATTAAAAATTCAAAGGATGGGCTCAACACTAAATGGAGAAGACAGAGGAAAGACCCAATGAACTTGAAGAAATAACAGAAATCACTCAATCTTAACGAGAGAGAAAAAAGACCAAAAAATATTAACAGCCTCAGGGACAAGTACAACTATAACAAAAGACCTAACATTTGTTTCATAAGAGTCACAGAAAAAGAAGAGAAAAAAGATGGGTCTGAATTTCTTGAGGAAATAATAACTGAAAACTAACCCAAATTTAACAAAAGATATAATCTTACAGATTCAAGAAGCTGAAAAAATTCCAAGCAAGATAAATCCATGAAAATCCACACCAGGACAAACCAAAGTCAAACTTTCGAAAACTTAAAAGACAATGGGAAAAATATCTTGAAAGAAGTGAAAGAAACATTTTAAATGGGGGGGCGGGGGAGATAGGGCTAGCAATGGGGGCAGATAACTCAAATGACAGCAGATTTCTTACCAGAAACCATGGAGACCAGAAAGAAGTTGTACAATTTTTTTAACTTGCTAAAAGAACTGTCAATCCAAAATCATATACTCAGTGACAATATTCTTTAAGAATGAAGACAGGGCCTCCCCTGGTGACTCAGCGGTTGAGCGCTGGGCTGCGAGGCTGCTGCAGCCTCTGCAGCGCCAGTTTGTTCCCGGGCCCCCAGCGAGGGTCCCACCAAAAAAAAAAAAGAATGAAGACAAATTCAAGACCTTCTCAGATGATAGAAAACTAAGAAAATTTGTCACCAATAGACCTAACCTAAAAGAATGACTTCAGGAAATTCTCAGAATTTTGGAATATCAGAAAGGAAGAAAGAACAATGGAAACTATGGCTGAATATATTTTCCTTGTCCTCTTGTGTTTTCTAAATTTTGTCTGATGATTGAAGCAAATTATAATAATGTCTGATGTAGCTCAAAATGCATATAGAAGGGCCTCCCTAGTGGCCTAGGAGTTAAGTGTCAGCACTATCATCACGATGGCCTAAGTTTGATCCCAGGCAGGAAGTTAAGCCACATATGGTACAGCAGACCTCTCCTGACTTGCCAGCTGCTCCCCTTAGCAGTGTATTTCAGTAGATCTGCCTGTTCTGCTTCCTGCTCCATCTCTGGTGAATCCTCTCTCTCACACACACCCCCCTCACACACCTCTGGCCTATAACCCACTTCTATGCAAAAATAAATAAATAAAAAGTGACGTTTGCCTAAAAAAATATATATAGAAGAAATATTGAAGATAACTTTTATAGACAAACATAAAGGGAGATAAGTTTCTTATACTTTGAACTGGTAAAGTGTTGATACCAATGGACTGTGATAAGTTAGTCATATATGTACAATGAAAAACCTAGGAAAACCATTGAAAAAGCTCTCACTTTTTATCATGTAAAAATTCTCACTTAATCCCATCAATAGAGTATTAAAAAATTGTGACTTTAAGATACAATGCAAGATCTACATGTTCTGTTCAACACCAGCGGGGTATTTTTTTCCTTCATCAATGCTGTAATAAAATGATGTTGAACAAAACAATGTTATTTGAGGACCTGTTGTACAAAGAGATATGCAATGGATAAATTAAATGAGATTCTAAGAAATGTTCAAGTAACACACAAGTCAGGAAAAAGGAAAGTGACAAAGACAGAGAAAAACAGAAAAATTGCATATTTATGCCTTAACCTGTCAACTTTTACATTAAAAATAGAGATTGACATATTTACACATATGCTACATACAAGAAATGTCAAATATAATGATAAAGACAGCCTAAAAGTAAAACAACAGATATACTATGCAAATGTTAATAAAAAGAAAGCAGAATTGACTGTATCAACCAGATACTATAGACTTTAGAATTGAGAAAATTGCCAATTGGTATAGAGGAACATTGCATTATTCTAAAAAAAAAAAAATCAATCTACCAAAAAGACAGCAATCCTATGTATGTATGCACCAAATAAAACTACAAAATGTGTAAAACAAATCTGATGACATTGACAGTTACAGTTGGAGACTTCAACAGCTCTCTCTCTCTTAACATTTAATAGAAGTACATAGAAAATTGTCAGGGATAGGAAAAAAAAAATTCAACACCACCATCAACCAATAGGATTTCATAGACATTTACAGAACAGTCCTTCCAATAGCAGCAGAATACACATTCTTTTCAATGACCCATGAAATGTTTATCAAGTAGACCATATACTGAACCTAAAACAAATTTAAAAAACTGAAACCAACAGTGTTTTCTGACCAGAGCAGAATCAAATTAGAGCTTGATAACAAAGTTAACTGGAAAATCTCCAAATATTTGGATACATAGACAACATACTTCTAAATAACCCATAGAACAAAAAGGAACTCAAAAAGGAAATGTTAAAAAAATACATGGAAGTAAAAGAAAATAAACCATACCAAAATTTGTAAGATGCAGCTAAAGCAGTGTGAGAGAAAATTTGCAGACCAAAGACAAAATAAGCAGAAGGAAGAAAATAGGAGTAAAAAAGGAGCAAACATGAATGAAATTGGACATAAAAAAGTTTACATACTGATAACTCCATTTACATAAAATTCTCTTTTTGAAATCAATTTCTTAATTTTTTTACATCATTGTTCATTACATAAAATTCTTGAAGTGACAAAATTATAGAAATGGAGAACAGATTAATTGTTGCCAGAGATTAAGGGTGGAGGTGGAAGAAGGAGGCGGGAGATAGGAGTTTGGGATGGGAGGTAAGAGGCAAGTGGGTGTGGCTATAAAAAGGACAAGAAGGATCCATGTGGTGATGAAATTATTTTGTATCTTGGTTGCATCAATGTCAATATCCTATCAGTGTTATTGCACTATTTGCCAGATGTTGCCATTGGGAGAAACTGGATAAGGAGTACTTAGGATCTCTCTGTATTGTCTCTTATAACTGCATCTCAATCTACAATTATGTATAATTAAAGTTAAACTTTTCAAAAGTCTAAATTAAATAATATCTAATATCTATTGTGATATTAAATAATATCTAATAATAATATAATATGAAACATAATATAAAAATATAATATAAAATATAATATAATATAAAATATATATAATATAATATAAAATAATATCTAATATCTATTTAGATATTAAATAATATCTAAATAATATCTATTGTGATAGGTTAGTCACTGTTCACAACACTTGTGTTATTTCATTTGATTCTCACAATATCCCCCTGTATGAAGGTAAGTGTTATCATGGCCTTTATTTTAAGGAAACAAAAGATGTAGAAAGGATAAGTGAACTGGTTAAAGTACATAGCCAGGAAGATCCCAAACTGTGATTCAGGGTTGTCAGCCTCTGGAATGTGTGCTCTAGATAATATTAAAAAGGAAATATTAGCAAAAGTGAAGAGCACTGTCAAAAGAACATGAAGTAAAGAAATAACCTTTATAGGGTTGGAGCTGTCTGGGAGGGAAATTAGCATTTATTGAGTTTTTCTTTCATTCGTTGAACATTGAGTATTGCTTTCCATAAGAATGGCAGAGAAATTCGATGTCATAGGCTGTAGAGTAAATGGTTTTCAGGCTTTTCTGCCCTCCCACCTTTAGGATTGCCCTGCCTGATGGGGCACCTGAAGTTGTTACATTGTTGTAAGCTGTGTTGTTTACTTCTGTGGGCCATGGGAGGGGTATTGAGATAGTCCCCAAGAGAAGCAGGAGAAGAGGCAGGAGAGAGAAGGGCAGAAAGAAGCCAGGGAACACAGAGTGAAGACTTGCTGGGGGCTTGGAGGCCTCAGGGTCTCCTGCCCGCCCTGCCACCCTTGCCTGCTGTATACCTGGTTGCTGCACTACATATAAAAGCTCAATAAAAGCCTGAGAAAGCCACCGAGGGCTCCAGGACTCTTCCTTTACCCCATCTGCCAGATCAGAAAACCTGCTCTGTGGCCTTCCTGGCACTACACAGGCCAACTCTGACTGGATGATAATGGCTACCTAGAAAATTATGTTAACACAGATTCTGATGCCACCTCACAGCAGGACATGGAAGAATTCTATGATTAACTAGAGATATTTGCCATTTATGATGTAGAAAAAAGGGATGACATGAAAGATGAGTGATAAGCATTTGCATCTGTCAATTTGTCACTTATCCAGACTTAAGTGTTTTACATGTGTATATAATGTTCATGTGTACAATTCAGACATAACACGGCATGTTGACTATTACCCACATTTTATAAATGAGGAAACTAAGGCTCAGAGAGTTTAGTTAATGGGTCTAAACTCAGTCAGCAAGTGGCAGAGCCAGGATTGAAACCAAGTTCACCATCCCTAGGTATCTCGCTCTTTTCACCAAACCTGGAGAAAGAGTTTTACTGAGCTCTTAAAAGAGATCGTGGACATGGATCAGCAGAGATGGCAAAAAAGAGGGGTTTAGGCATTAGCACAGGAGGACTCAGCCAATCACACAAAAGTCAGGAGGCAAACTAACCTCAGAAGCCATTGGGCAGTGATGACAGGAGACTAAGCAGTAACAGTGCCAAAATGACCTAAAACTTTGAAAACTTTGAAAAACTTTGAAAGCTAAAAGATTTATTATTCTAATAAGAATTTACTTTTCTGTTTGCTTGTTTTCTGAGAGCTCCTACTGCAGTGGGCAATGAAGTGATGACAATAATAGGATTTTGTTTTTCTTCATTGGGCTCTACCAGTTTTCTTATCCTATCTTTTTTCTTTCAAAGAATTAATTTTTTAAAATTTTAAAATTGAATTCTAAAAATCAATAAAAGTGGGGGAAGGGAAAAGTGTTTTTATGTAGTTAATGTAACATGCTGAAACCCTTATTGAGAAGTACTGAAATTTCAAGTAACTGTAATTTCAAAGAATTCTTTTTTTTTTAATTTATACAATGGCTGGGGTACAGGCTAGAGGTGCGGGAGGGTGAGAGGATTCACCAGAGACAGAGTGGGGAGCAGAACAGGCAGACTGACTGAAATACACTGCTGAGAGGAACAGCAGGTGCGACAGGAGAGGCCTCCTGTGTCATGTGGGAATCTCCCTGGCCAGCCGGGAATCAAACCCGTGCCGCAGAGGCTGTGGACAGCTTCACAGCGCTGCACTCAACCTGCTGCACCACCAGGGAGGCCTATGTAATTTCAAAGAATTCTTAAGAAAACTAATAAAATTTCCATTTAAGGATAGCCATTAAATGAACTAAAACACAACAATAGCTTCCAAGTTAGAAGAGAACATAATAGGGAGACTAAAGAAAGTTTTGTCAATCCAGTAGAAGCCAGGGAAGGAAAAGGAAGCAGCAATGGGGAAAAAAAGCAAACACAATACATAAAAGATGGCTCATTTAAGTACTAATATTAATATATCAATAAATAACTAATGAAAGTATAAGTTATCTATTAAAGACAAATGTGACTATATTTAGTAAGAACTAGCCAAGTTGAAAATAAAAAATGCATTGAAATAAACACATGGAAAATACTTTTCTTGCAACCGTAAGCCAAAATAGAAACAAAGTTAGATTAGAGATACTAATGTCATACAAGGAAAAAGTAAACTTTGGGATAAAGAGGAAAACTACTTGGCAGTTAAAATAAAAAAAAAAAATCAATGGGGCATCCCATGGTGGTGCAGGCGGTAGAGTGCAGCAGTGTGAGGCTGTCTGCAGCCTCTCAGCACTGGTTCGATACCAGCCAGGCAGCAAGGATCCCACAAGGTGTGGCAGACCTCTCCTGTAGCGCCTGCTGCTCCCTCAGCAGTGTATTTCATCAGTCTGCCTGTTCTGTTCCCCACTCTGTCTCTGGTAAATTCCCTCACCCTACCATGCATGTGGCCTGTACCCCAGTTCTTGTATAAATAAATAAATAATCTTTTTTTAAAATCTATGAAGATATAACAATCATAAACCACATGTGCTTAGAAAAAAATCAAAACATAAAAACTAAGCATCAAAAGCCTACAATACAAGGAGTAATTGAGCAATCTATAATGCTAATAGAATATGTTAACAGACCTATATCAAAACAGATAGATGGAATTTAAAATAAGTAAAGAATAGAAATTGTGGAAAACATCTTAAACTTGAAATAAGTCTAACATTGCATACAAAAAATAGAAACTACTTTCTTTTAAAATATATATGAAATTTTCACAAAACTGAATATTAGATTCTAATAAGACATTTTAGAAATACAATAAATTACAGACCACCTGATCATAACAACATCAATTTTGAAATGGACCATAATATCGTAGCAAAATTCAAAAGTATATAAATTATCAAATGTTTCCCTCAACTTTTAATACCATTCCCCACAAGTGACTTTTGTCAATAGTGTCTACCTTCTAGATCTTTGGTATGTATATATGTAGAATTTATTACATATTAGAGAACATTTTAAAATGTATATCTATACTATGCATGCATATGTATATCTAAAATACTTTTTCATGTCTTTAGGATATATAATCCTGAAACATAAATTGAATGGAATCATTCTTAGTAAAGAGTCAAAGGCTAAGTAAATTTTGAACCTGCAACCCAATTTGTAAAATTTTTCTTTGTGAAAAACTGCATTCCTCCGGGGATATTAACATCTCCTGTAAGGGGTTATCAAAGCTTCTGATGAAAGAGTCCTTGAAAGGGCTTGCTCTTATCATTTTGTCACTGCTAACCCCACAGTAGAATTTAAGCATTTAGACTTAAAAATGCTCAAATTCTAGTGTGGTCTAGTGGCCAGTAGGGAACGTCAGAATCAACACTGAGAACTTATCTTACCATATCAACTTTAGTTGATTAGGGAGAGAGACAAAAGCGTTATCAAAGGGGCCTGACCTAACATCAAAACTCTGATGTGCGCCTAGTTGTTGCAATTGCTATTTTGATGACGTTCCGCTTCACTCTGGTTTTCCTTTCCATCTGACCCCGCCACAGTTATGCATGAGTGCATTAGGTTTCGGCTTCGTTGCCACTTACCTTCCTGAGGCTGTAATCAGCGCTTACCTGGCTGCCGCAGCATTGCACGTTATCCTGTCTCAGTTGGCTTTCATCTTCGGGATTACGATTAGTTTCCACGCTGGTCCTGCCTCCTTTTTCTATGTGAGTATTTTCCACCCTCACCAAAGTTATAACTGCCTCTTTCCTGGTCTCCAAAAGGAAGTAGACCCAAGTGGAGAGACTCCTGCAGAGGGAACTGAGTTAAGAGGGTCCTTTGGAGTTATCTCTTCCTGACTTATGTCTTGATTCTTTGCATATAGTGCTGGACTATGTTCTCAGTTGCATTAACCATTTCACCCAGACTTTCAAACTAACATGATTTATGTTAAAATTTGTTCTTTAAGACAGTGTATCCGTGACATGCCTGGTAACATACATGGATCCTAAAACATCTCAGGATATAAAATGCTAAGTAGTCCCTGAATGCAAAAAGGGTGTAGGAGCCAAGCTCAAGGGCATATATGGTCCAGGAAAATTAACAAAGATTAAGTTACTAAACAAAATTTCAGGGTTCTTTCTGTGTACTAAGACATATAGGTGTATTCTCTCCCTCCTTCCTGGGCATTTTTAATATCTCATTTTCAACTTTAAAAAAATGTATCCATCCATGTCTCTCAATGTTCTACTTAGTAATGCTCATAAAGATTTTTTGTATAGATTTAGACAACTGTTGTACATCTTTCTTAGCCTCTGTAATTTTGTTTTCTTTCAGAGCCTGGTTAACTACTGTATGACTCTCCCAAAAGCTAATTCCACCAGCATCCTACTATTTCTAACTACTGTTGTGGCTCTGAGAATCAACAAATGTATCAGAATTTCCTTCAATCAGTATCCTTTGGAGTTTCCCATGGAAATTGTTCTGGTAGGTGTTTTTGATGTCCCAGATTCTTGGTTCAAATAATTTTAAATATCTGTTAAAAACTAAAAAGAAATAACCCAGAAAGGAAAAGATTCATAAGAGATTATAAAAAATAAGCATTTGAAACTATGTATATTGAATTGTAGCAAGGCGGAATACATTTAGTTTTAATAAAGTTAACACATTTGTTTCAAAGTACTTTTATCTATTACCTCTTTTTTATACTATTTAAGTTATTTCAGAAATAAGTTTTTTTTTCCTTATGAAAGAAATACAGGCTTATTTTAGTAATTTTGAAAAAGAGAAAAGAAAAATACTCCTGTAACTATATACCCCCCAAAGTGAACTTCAATTGATTAGTTACTTCTTTCAAAGAAATATCTATGTGTTGTTCAATTTCCATTTTCTTCTATGTAGAGATTTTGTTTCTGTTTTATTAACACATGTTCAATTTTCTTTCATTCTCATGTTACTGTAAAGAAATTGAGAGAGATGAGATATTAAATAAATCTCCTAATCCCTGTCACTAGTAAGTGACAGAGCTGGGGCTCACCTCTTTCTAATGATAATATTTCTTGCTTCTTTTTTTAAAATGTGACAAAATTCATCTTTGAAGTTATAATTAACATTTTTACAATAATAAAGACACTTTGATAAATAAAGCTCAGATTTGTAAGTCAGCATTCCTCATATTAGCATCACTAACTCCTTGTGTGCCCACAAAAATTAACTTTCCCCTTAAGAACTGTTCTGTGGCAGAGACATTAAAGTTCACCGAATATCCATGTGTCCCATGTGTTTCCCAGCCTCCCTTGTAGTTTAGGCAGGACTATGTGATTTTTGGGCCAAAGCATAGAAGACTAGGTGTGAGTCCCCAAGTTCTTTCTTCCCCTGGTGTGGGACTCATGGTGACTGTATGCTGAGATAAGAGAGTCCCAGCTGAAATAAGTCTGGATCCCTGAGGCACTGTTGGCAAAGAAGCTGACCTGGGGAGACACTGACCCATATTGAGGTTTATGGGACAAAAAAAAAATATGTGTGTGTGTGTGTTAAGACCCTAAGATCTCATGGTTTGTATGTTTCCACAGCATAACCAATCTTCTACTAACTAATTCAGGTCTATACTCTTCATGAGTGAAAGAATAAGGGAATCACTTCAGAAATTGAGAGCAACCTCTGTCCCATAACCACTGTCTACTTCTTATGGAGGTGCATGTTCTTGCTTCCTTTGAGAAGTTGAAAAGTTATTAATTCATAAAGGCCAGCCCTAAATGGCTGCTTTTTAAAAAGGCTTTCCAAAACTGTGTACAAAGCGGTGCCCTAGAGCCCACAGGACAAAGTGCTTATGGGGTTTGGGGGGTGGAATCAGGGGCAACCTCTCCTTTTCTTTTTTTCTTTTTTAAGATTTATTTATTTTTATACAAGAACCAGGGTATAGGCCAGATGTGGGGGAGAGTGAGAAGTTTCACCAGAGACAGAGCGGGGAACAGAACAGGCAGACTGACGAAAAACATTGCTGAGGGGAGCAGCGGGTGAGACAGGAAAGGTCTGCTTCACCATGCGGGATTCTTGCCGCCGACTGGGATCGAACCTGCGCTGCAGAGGCTATGGACAGCTTCGTAGTACGGTGCCCTACCGCCTGCGCCACCAGGGAGGCCCCTTTTTCTTTATCTTTAATGAATTATTTTATATAATTCTTACATCATTTTTCATTTTTGCATAATGTATGCATTTTTTATTTTGGTTATATTCCCCATACAATTCCCACCCCCTTTTTCTGACCCTAATCCCTCTTCTCCTCCCCTGCCCCCCACTGTAGTGTGTCTCTGGTCTATAGTTGCTTGTTGATTTTGATTTTTACTTTATTGAAATTAGTCTTCTTCCTGGTCCCTTATTTAGGTTTTCTAAATTCCTGCTATGAGTGCAACTTCTCCTTTTCTTAGATACCAACCCTGCTCTGGCATTTAGGAAGCTAAGGCTTCGGAGTCACCAGCAGATGGCATCTGTGACATAGACATCAGTTTGCCCTCTCTTCCTCTAATTTCAGTTTTACTGAGCAATAATTGACATATAAAATTATAAGATATTTAAAGTATACATCATGGTGATTTGATATTTGTATACATTACAGTATACATTACATATTACAATTATATGCATTATGAAAGGATTCTAATTGATTAACATATCCATCACCTCATTTTATCCATCCATCCATCCATCCATTAGTGAGAACATTTAAGTTCTATTCTCTTAACAGGTTTCAATTATACAGTACGTTATCAACTACTCACCATGTTTTACATTAGATCCTCAGACCTTATTTATCTTACAGCTAAAAGTTTTGCCAGCCTTTCCTTATGCACCTTATGCACCCCCTGAGTCCCTGGCAACCACTTTTATAGTCTGTTTCTATGAATGTGACCAGTTTTTTAATTTGTTTTTTAAAAATATATATTTTATTGTTTTTTGAACATCCTTATTTATTTTTTCACAATATAACATTTCTCCCCTCAGATGCGGGTACCGTAGTTTTCCCACCACCAAAATACCCACAGTCCTTCACCACACTTCACTGCGCACTCCTGCCTGCCCTCCCTCCTGAATATCTCAAATATAAAATCTACTTTCAAGTGTCAGTCTTATAGTTTGTCCTTGATCCTTTGTTTGGTTTCTCTAGATTCCACATAAAAGTGAAACTATTCACTATTTATCTTTCTCCTTCTGGCTCACTTTGCTTAGAATAATCCCTTCTGGCTCCATCCATGTTACCACAAAAGGCATGAGTTTATCTTTTCATTGCTGAGTAGTATGCCATTGTGTGTGTTGGTTTTGTATCCTGCCACTTTGCTGAACTGGTTTCTTGTTTCGATTAGTTTTTCGGTGGAGTCTTTGGGATTCTCTGTACGTTATCATATCATCTGCAAATAATGATAACTTTACTTCTTCCCCAATTTAGATTCCTTTTATTCCTCTAGCTGGGACTTCAAATACCACAAAATGTTGAATAGTAATTATGAGGGTGGACATCCTTTTCTTGTACCAGATCTTAATGGAAAGAATTTCAATTTTTCTTCATTGAGAATTTTACTAGCTATAGGTTTATCATATATGGTTTTTATTATGTTAAGATAAGTTCCGTTGCTCACCAGTTTTTCAAGGGTTTTTATCATAAATGGATGCTGAATCTTACAAATACTTTCTCAGCATCTGTTGATATGATCATATGGTTTTTATCTTTCCTCTTGTTGATGTGTGGTGCATTACATTGATTTTCAGATGTTGAACTGTCCTTGTGTCCCTGCTATAAATCCCATCTTGTCATGGTGTATAATCTTTTTATGTATTGTTGCATTCAGTTTGCTAAGATTTTATTGAGGATTTTTGCATCTGTGTTCATTAAGAAGATTGGTCTGTAGTTTTCTTTCTTTGTGTTTTCTTTGGCTTTAGTATTAGTGTACTATTGGGCTCATAAAATGTGTTTAGAAGAATTCCTTTTTTGAATTTTTGAAAAGTCTGAACAGAATAGGTATTAGTTCATCTTTTAAGGTTTGGCCGAACCCATTTCTGAAGCCCTCTTGGCTTAAACTTTTGTTTTTTGGGAAAGTATTGATTACTTTCAATTCCTTGCTTGTGACTTGTTTGTTCAGGTTTTGTGTATCTTCCCTATTCAATCTTGCATGATTGTATAATTCTAAGAATCTATTCATTTCATCTAGGTTATTGAATTTGTTTGCATATAATTTTCACATTTTCTCTATTTCCTCTATGAGCAAGAATTAAGTTTATACTGGGAATAAAATTGGATATTTATTACACTTCTTGTCCGTTAACAACTAAAAACCAAAACTCATCTCTAACTCAAGCTATGATCCAAATTCTTCCTTCCATTTTGATCTACAGGCTTCCTAGGTGTCTTCGTCTAATTACAGCATCACAGATAAACCAGCTACTATCCCACTAAGTGTCTCACTGAACTCTTAGAGTAGATGTTGGGAAAAGATTTTTTTGTGTCAATAAGGAGACTGGTGTAAAGTAACTGTATAATAATTATTTTTAAAGCTAGGTATTGAGTTCTCCTGTCCAGTTTATTTGTTTTGTTGTGAGGTCTTTTAGATGGATAACAGCTACTAGGTTGTTTTATTTTTCCTCTAGTTGAAAAGGAAGGAAGACTTACTGTTTTAGAAATAAAAAAAAAAAACAGCAAGTAATTGCTTTGCTTATGACATTTTCCTTTATGCTATCAAATGTTTTCCCATATTATTAAGGGTTAGGTAGTGGTATGATTCTCCATATACCTCAACAGCTCCCCAGTTTTATTTATATTGGTATGGTTGCGAAGCTGCCTGCAGCCTCTGCAGCACCGGTTTGATCCTGGGCCATGGGCGAGGGTCCCACATATGGTGCGCAGACCTCTCCTGCTGCCCACTCAGCAGTGTGCTTCCCTCAGCAGTGTGCTTTGTCAGTCTGCCTTCTGACTGTACCCAGTGCTTGTATAAATAAATAAATAAATAAATAAATAAATAAATAAAACAACTTTTAAAACTGAGATTGCGATTCAGCCATTACCTAAAAACACAAAACACATTTATATTTGGTCTAGATGTTTGAAGTTGGCAAGGAAAGAGAAGCATAGGGCGTCCATTTGTTCCCATTATTATGTCAGAGACCAAGAGAGACCAAGGCTGAAGTTACTTTCATTCTGGCTACAAGGCTAAAGAATAAAAATTAAAAAGCTAAGGGAACAGAAAGCATTAAGGAGGACTTCTGCTTTTCTTGCCCCACGGAACTGAGAGCTCTGCCTTTCTCTCCAACCTTCATGCATAGAGACTGCCATTCCCTGTGTTGCGAGAGTTATGAATTATGGGTGCATCTATTCCTGGAGGCAATACACAATATTCAGATTATCACATGCCCTTTTTTTTTTAACTCCCTACAGATTCTTGGCTTCACTGCACTTGCAAACAAGGTAGGCATGGCCACAGAGAACACAGAGCTAGTCATGGATATGATTCCTTACAGGTAGGTAATTCCACTTTTCAAGTCTACTTTTCTCTTTCTGACCATATCATTTGATTGATGTTCTCTTACAAGCAGTTTATGACTACAGCCCAAATGCACAACTTTTTTTTTTTTTTTTTTTTTTTAAAGAGGCACGTATTTATTCATTTATTTATTTTGTTTGTTTTTGTTATACATGCACTGGTACAGTCAGAAGCACGGGAGGGTGAGAGAATTCACCAGAGCCAGAGCGGGGAGCAGAGCAGGCAGAAGGACCGAGGCACACTGCTGAGGGGAGCAGCAGCGGGCGGCAGGAGAGGTCTGCGCGCCATGTGGGACCCTCCTCCGGTGGCCGGGGAGCAGCCGGGGATCGAACCGGCGGCACAGAGGCCGTGGGCAGCTTCGCAACCCAGCGCTCAACCGCTGCGCCACCAGGGAGGCCCCAAATGCACAACTTAAGCTCAAGTTCATTTCAGAACACAGAGGTTCATGAAACGTAAAGATAAGACAACCCCTTGTTTCTTCTCTGGTCAGCATCTGACTCTCTTCCCATGCTGGGGCCAATCCCCTTACCCAAGTGAACTGTTGTTTGGACTGATGACCAGAGATTCTCATGCATTTTTTCCAGAACACATTATGGTCTTCTCAACCTCCACACCTATCCTATTTACTCTTAATGATGGGACAACAAATTTCTCTGTTTCCTAGCCTCTCTCCTGAAGCTCAGTGCTCAGGAGGTGAATTTTCCCTTTGTCTTCATCTACTTATATTGAATTGGTGTCCTTAAGCAACATGGATTTATTACTCTAGTAGAAAGCTATCTTCAAAGTGACAAAAAAAAAAAAACTAGAGGATTTAAAAAAAAAAAAGAAAGCTATCTTCAAATAGGCTAGCATATGGAGTTCCTAAGGGCTTGCAATTCACTTCATAATTCATACTAGTGACTATGGGACATCACTCTTGCTTTTATAAGGAAATTATAATTTCTTCTACCTTGATAAGACAAATAAGATGAAGGAAGAAATAGACAGTTATACAATAATAGTTGACAACTTCAATACCTCACTCTTAATGATGGATAGAACAGTGAGGCAGAAAATAAGTAAAGAAATAGAAGGCTGAACCAAGACGATAGACCATCATATACAGATAAATACACTCACCAGCAGCATAGACATTCTTTTCAAGTGCACATTGGACATTTGGGATGATAGATCACATGTTTGGTCACAAATTAAGTCTCAATAGGTTATAAATGATAAATATCAGATCAAGTATCTTCTCTGTCCACAATGGGATAAAGTTAGCAATCAGTAGCAGTAGAAAATTTTAAATTCACGGATTTGTAGAAATTAACATACTTTTAAAAATTCAATAGATCACAGAAGAAATCAAAGGAAAACTAGAAAACACACAGAAATGAATAAAACAAACAGTATTTAAAACTCATGCAACACAATAAAAGTAGTGCTAAGGAAGAAATTTATAGTCATAAACACATTAAAAAACAAAAATGAGACCTTCCTGTCTGCTCCTGGCAGAATGGCTCCTACAAAGAAGTGTGGAAAGAGTAAAGGCTATACTGCAATTAACAAAATAGTGACCAGAGAATATACCATCAACATTTTATTTTTTTTATTTTATTTTTATATTCCCCATACAATTGCACCCCCCTTATTTTGACCCCATTCCTTCCTCCACCCCCCCCCATTATGTGTCTCTGGTTCATAGTTGTTTGTTGATTTTGATTTTTTTCTTTCTTATGGTTATTTTTTCTCCTGGTCCCTTATTTAGGTTTTCTAGATTCCTGCTATGAGTGAGACCATCCGGCATTTTTCTTTTTCTTTCTGGCTTATTTCACTGAGCATGATCCCTTCCAGCTCCATCCATGTTGCTGCAAATTGCATGTGTTTATCTTTTTTGATTGCTGAGTAGTATTCCATTGTGTATATGTACCACATCTTCTTGATCCAGTCATTTGTTTTTGGGCATTTGGGTTGTTTCCAAAGCTTAGCTATTGCAAATAGTGCTGCTATAAACATAGGGGTGCAGGTGCTCTTTGGAATTAGTGTTTCTGTGTCCTTTGGGTAAATCCCTAGGAGTGGAATTGCTGGATCATATGCAAGCTCTATCTTTAGTAGGCTGAGGAATCTCCACACAGGTTTCCATAGTGGTTGGACCAGTTTGCACTCCCACCAGCAGTGCAGGAGAGTTTCTTTTTCTCCACCTCCTCACCAACATTTGTTGTTGCTAGTTTTTTTAATATGTGCCATTCTCACTGGTGTAAGATGGTATCTCATGGTAGTTTTGATTTGCATTTCCTGATTGCAAGTGACCATCAACGTTTTACATAAAATGGGATTCAAGAACCATTCCCCTTGGGCACTCAAAGAGATCCAGAAATTTGCCATGAAGAAGAAGGAACTCAGCATGTTTGTATTGACACCAAGCTCAGTTCATTTCTATGGGCCAAGGAATGATGAATGCCTCAGATCATATTCATGTGCAGTTGTCCAGAACACATTGTGAGGATGAATATTCACCAAAAAAGTTCTACGTATATGTTACCTGTATACCTATAACCACTTAAAATAATATACAGTCAATGGGGATGAGAACTAATGACAAACTGTCAAATAAAATTGTGAAATTATAAAAAAAAAAAATAGAGAAAATCAATGATGCCAAAAGTTGGTTTGCTGAAAAGATCAACATGATTGACGAACCTTTATTTTTATCTAAATGGATTAAGACAAAGGAGAAAAGACTCAAACCAGAAATGAAAGTGGGGAGAGGTGGGAATAGGGAGTAATCTCTCAGTAGCAGAACATTTGACTGCAGAAATCGAAGTAGGGACAGCACTACTGATTCTACACATATAAAAAGGGTTATAAGACAATACTATGTACAACTATAATCAATAAATTTGGTAACCTAGATGAAATGGAAAATTTGCTAGGAATATAAGACCAAGACTAAATCATCCAGAACACATTATGAAGATGAATATTCACCAAAAAAGAAACAGAAAATCTTAATGGTCCTATTACAGTAAGGAGGTTGAATAATTAATTTTAAATCTCTTAACCAAAAAAAAAAAAAAAACACTCTGGATCTAATGGTTTCGCAGGTAAAAATCCTTCTCAAACTTTCAAAAAAAAATCAAAGAAGAAAAAACACCTTGAAGCTAGCATTATCCTGATATCAAAGTCAAACAAAGACATTACCTGAAAAGAAAATATTTATGAAAATTGATATAAAACCTCAAAATATCCTAGCAAATAAAATTCAGCAACATATTAAAAGAATTATATATTATGAAAAAGTAAGCCATTCCTAGAATTCAAGGGTGGCTCAACAAACAAAAATAAATCAATGTTATGTGCCACATAAACAGAATGAAGGAAAAAATACATGATTATCTCATTTGATATAGAAAAAGCATTTGACAAAATTCAAAACCCTTTCATGATTGGGAAAAAAAACCCATTCAACATGCTGGAATAGAAGGAAACAATCTCAACAGAATATAGCCACATATGAAAAACTGATAGCAAACGTCTTATTCAATGATGAAAGAATAAAAGCTTTTTCTCTACAATCAGGAGTAAGACAAGGATGCCTAGTTTCTCCACTTCTTTTCAACATCATACTAGAAGTTCTAGTCAAAGCAATTAGACAAAAAAAAGAAATAAAAGTCATTAATTATTAATAGAAGTGGCCTCCCTGGTGGCACAGGGCTTAAAATCTCACTGCCATCAAGCTATCGCCAGCCATTGTGGCCTGAGTTTGATCCCTGGCCAGGGAATTAACCCACATGGTGCAGCAAACCTCTCCTGTCTTGTCCGTTGCTTCCCTCAGCAGTATATTTCAGTAGATCTGCCTGTTCTGCTCCCCACTCTGTCTCCAGTGAATCCTTTCACCCCCTCCACACACACCTCTGGCCTATACCCTAGATCTTGTATGCATAAATAAATAAAATAAATCTTTTTAAAAATAAATAAATTATTAATACAAAAGAAATAAAATTATCTCTATTTGCACATGTATATATATTTATGTATGTATTAAACCCTATAGATTCCATACCAAATGATGGTTTATTAGTTAAAACTAATAAACTAAGCAGCAAATTATAGACTACAAAATCATACACAAAAATCAGTTGTTCTACTGTTACTGTGAACAATCTGAAAAGGAAATTATGAAAATAGTTCCATTTTCAATACTATCAAAAAATATATAATGTTTTGGAGTTAACCAAGGGGGTAAAAATATTGTACAATAAATACTACAAAACATTGATAAATGAAATTAAAGATCTAAATAAATGGAAATACATCCCATGTTCATGGATTGGAAAATTAATATAGTTAAGATGTCAATACTACCTAAAGCAGCCTACAGATTCAATGTAACCCCTATAAAAATTTCAATGATGTATTTTGCAGAAATTTTAAAAATCCACCCTGAAATTCATATGGAATCTCAAGGAATCCCAAATAGCCAAAGCAATACTGAAAAGAACAAAAGTGGGGGATTCTTGCTTCTTAACTTTAAAACTTATTATAAACCTATGGTAGCTAAAGCACTGTGGTACTTGCTTAAAGACAATGGAGTAAATGGAAATCTTCAAAATAAACTTTTGCATTTATGGTGATATGACAAAAGTGCCAAAACTATTCAACAAGGAAAACTGGATATTCTCGTGCAAAAAAATGAAGTTGGATTCTTATCTAATAGTACAGACAAAAATTTATTCAAAATGAATGAAAGACCTAAATCTAAGACCTGAAACTATAAAATGCTTAGAACCAAACATAGAGCAAAAGTTTTACAGTTTTGGAATTGGCAATGATTTCTTGGATATGTCACCAAAAGTACAAGTAACAAGAGGGAAAAAATAGATAAATTGGACTTCATGAAAATGAAAACATTTGTGCATCAAAAGACACTACTAACAAAGTAAAAAAGCAACTTCTATTTTTCTTCACAAAAAGGAAAAATATTTGCAGAACATA